GTTGTTGCGTGCCATGAGGTAGGCAGTGAGGGCATCCCGATCGGCCTGGGGCATCACGGCGCCCGCGGCAACACGGATGCGGATAACTTCGTGGTACTGGCCATCGCTGCCCCGGTAGTACAGCTGCTCAGCGTCTCCGCCCTGGAGCCTGTAGTAACCGTTGCCGAGGTCGATGTAGGTCGGGCCCGTCGCAGCAGCCTTGCTTTTACTTCCTTGACCTGCGGGCATGATGATGACTTATGACTTGAAAGGGATAAAACGGACCGGCCGAGTACTCTGAAAGTGTCAGAAAGATGGATGAGTAATGAAACGAAGGGATTGGGATGTAAGCGTGCTCTGGATGTGAGATTCGAGTCTCCAAGTGCAAGGGATCTGTTCGTTATATACCCGAATCGGTAAAAAGTCTTCATGGCTTCCTTTGACGGCATCTCACTAGAAGTCGCGCCGGCGCCGGTTCCCACAGGCATGAAACTGCCGGCCCTCGGTCTTGGAGTTTCAGCGCCATCTGGTCCGTAGGCTGACCAGGAAGCGGCATGGGCATGAGTTGTGTCGCGGCCATGTGAAGCTACGGGCCCAACCTCCGGTGCTCCGCTTCGCCCACGATTGCCCGCTACTAGTTGCCGGGATGGGGCTGAGCTAGGCGAGCGTCCGGGTACACAAGGCAACGGCCAACGGCGGCCAACTTCTAAATTTGCCTCCAGGAACAGCCGGTCGACGGCCCGACATACATGTCTGACAACATGTGCCTTACTTGGGCTCCCATGTGGCCCGACTATCTAGCCGAGGCCTGAAGCCAAGAGGTAAGCAGGGCGGCCGGATGCTCATTGCTTTGCTGGAGGCTAGGTCGCCTGTGGCCTGTCTCAGGAGTCAGGGGTCAGGATTCAGTAGGACACGAAGACCCGAGGTTGACGCCGCAGGGTGTGGGAATTTTGGAAGGCGGTGGCTTAGCGAATCGACATCTTGTAAGTTCCTACATGGCAGGTTCACATCTGTAGGCCGGCCCATCCGCAAGCAGGATCTAGAAGGATGCCGTCGGATACTGGTGACGTTCTTTGTCTGGCTGTATCCTCGCTCCGCTGTTTGACATGCCGCCCGGAGTTGTGGGGCCGAAAGTTGTCGCCGCATTGGGATGAACGGGATTTAAACTTCTGACTGCAACGCTCCCTGATGACCAACCAACCGTTACCATGTCGCTGGGCCGCATGCGCAGCAACTTGAAGACTCTCTGCCTTCCATCGCTCGATGCGTGGCAGGCTACAGCACAAGGCAGCCGACAGGTAAAAATAGGGGCGATTTGAATGATTTATCGGTTCCAACTTCTATTCGTTAAAGTGAACCTGGATGGGAAGTTGGGAACTTGAAAGCTGCCATCTCGTCGATTCAATTTCAAACTTCGTCTACGTCAACTTGGCCTCATTTTAGCCACCTTTATCCCCCTTTAGCGCACACAGCGTACAGAATGAGCGGCAACGCAGATTCGGCGCCCCAGACCGCCATGGCGGCAGACATGTCGCCGTCCGAGTCCAGGAACCCCTATTCTTTCTATCCCGACCCCTATTCCGCCTACATGGAGCATGAAAGTCTCTACAACTACAGGCCGGGAGGCTTCCACCCAATCGACCTTGGTGACACGCTGCAGGACGGCCGCTACGTGATCCGCCATAAGCTCGGCCATGGCGGATTCTCGACCGTCTGGCTTGCTCGAGACACGCGGGAGCAGTACGTACCTACCTACCCTTCTTCCCATGTGATCATTAGCCTCCCCCTAACAGCTCCCATAGACAGTGGGTATCCATCAAGATCAAGACGGCCGAGGCCTCGGCCGAGACGCCAGACAAGGACCCGGAAGCCAACGTCGCATTGGACCTGGAACGCCACTACACCTCGTCGGCCCAGGCGCAGGAGAAACCGCGGTGTTTTGCCCGCCTGCTCGCCTGCTTCCGTCACACGGGGCCCAACGGGACCCACAACTGCCTCGTCACCGAGTTGCTCGGGCCGACCGTCGACGAGGTCCTCGAGACCTTCAAGGAAAATTATCTCACGCTGCGGCCCGACACCACTCTCAGGGCGTCGCAGCAGCTGCTCGACGCCATCGCCTTTGTCCACCAGGCGGGCATCGCGCACGGCGGTATGTCGCACACTTTCGGGAAACACAAGTCATATTGGTACTTGGGACTAACCCGCAGCCAGACATCTCCTATTCCAACGTCGCCTTCACCTGCAAGCGCGCCATGGCGAGCGAGGAGGACTTGTTCGACGCCATGGGGGGCGAGCCAACCACCGTCCCGGCCGGCGAAGACGAAGACCTGCCGCCGAATCTGCCCCGGCACATGGTGCAGGCGACGGCTTGGCCCTCGTGGTTTGAGCATGTCGACGAGGACATCTGCGTGCTGGACTGGGGCCTCGTGTTTCCCAAGGACAAGCGGCTCGAGGAGCTTGATCAGCCCAAGACGCTACGGGTGCCCGAGACATTTTTCCTGGATTCGTTCGACTACCGGCATGATTTGTGGAGGGTGGGGTGTGTGGTGAGTTGTCGTTCTTCTTGGCTATCAATCCGATCTTTACTGACTGGCCTATGTGATAGATTTACGGGTTGTTCTACCAGCAAGAGATCTGCAGGTATGGCGGCCGGGAGAACCTGCAGGTTCGGGAATATGTCAGCAAGCTTGGCCCGCTCCCTGCAAGCTGGCAGGCAAAGTGGGAGGAGATGCTGAAAGCGGACCCTGACGCGGGCGAAGATGGTAAGCCACGGTCCTTTAAGAGTAGTCCACTCTCCACAAACACGACTAACATGCACCCATCTAGAATCCGTCGCCCCGCCAAACTACATCACCGAAACGTTTGAGCCCCGTCGTCGGGCCATCATGTCGGCGTGCGCCGACGATGAACAGAACGAGTACGAGGAGGACGAGCATACAGACCACGACTACGAAGCGCTGGAGTGTCTCAAGCGAGTCATCTTTGGCCTTTTACAGTACGGGCCAGAGAAGAGGGTGGAAGCCGAGGTTGCCGCGTCGTGGATACGCGAGAAGTGGACCGACTACCGGAGGCAGGAGAGGGAGGAGGAGAGCGAAGATGAAGAGGGGCAGGATGATAGGGACGAGGATAGCGTTGCAGGTTCCGAGTTGGATGAGTGAGAGGTCGAGGCCGGGCCGCAGGACTTGAGAGCTAAGCAAGCCTAAGCCTGGTGTTTGCCGGCGTCCACATAATACCATACATAATGCATCCATCTGCCCCATAGTCGTCTAGTCACACTTGTTCTGGTTGGGCGTCATGGCGATGTCACTCTCGGCACCCTATATACCGAGAATACCGACCGCGATAATTAGCCAGATTTGGCGGCCAACCCTTCAACTTAATCTATAACACATGTTATCCTGATGATACCTCCCGCATTGGGTGTCTTTCTCCGCCCTTCCCCTCAATGGAAAGCAAGCGTATAAGGTCTGTCGCAGGACAGCCTGCTTCAAGACGGCCACAGTCCTAGTCTAGAGATCTGAACCTTCTCTAACTCAAAGACAGGCAGATCACTTCCTCTGCCAACTATGAAGCCAATTCTTACCTTCCTAGCCCTGGCCAGCATCGGCGCTGCTGCTCCAAATATCCAATCCACGCAGGATGGTGCATCCAAGCGCGCTGCCTGGCCAAACGGCCCGTTCGTGACCTGGGGCCGCTGGATCCACGACGCGTCCGGCAAGAACCTGACCTACGCGGGCACCAACTGGCCGGGCCACGCCGACGTCATGATCCCCGAAGGCCTCCAGTACCAGTCCATAGAAACCATCGTCCAGAAGGTCAAAAGCCTCGGCATGAACGCCATCCGCCTGACCTTTGCCATCCAAATGGTCGACGAGATCTACGCCAACGGCGGCAACGACATCACCATCCAAAAGGCCTTTGTGCAGGCCCTAGGCCAAACCAACGGCACGCGGGTGCTCAACCAGGTGCTGGCCAAGAACCCGCTGTTCAACGCCTCGACGACGCGCCTGCAGGTCTTTGACGCCGTGGCCGAGGAGCTGCACAGGCAGCAGATCTATCTCCACCTCGACAACCACATCTCCAAGGGCATGTGGTGCTGCTCCAGCACCGACGGCAACAGCTGGTGGGGCGACACGTACTTTTCGACGGCCAACTGGGTGCGCGGGCTGTCCTACATGGCGAACCATGTACGTCTTCTCTATTACCCCTTTCCTCTGCCCCCTTCCCCTCCCCCCAAACCATAACTAAATACCCGGGCCACGCAGGGCAAATCCTGGCCCGCCCTCACCTCCCTCGGCCTGCGCAACGAGCCCCGCGAGCCGACCAACAACCCCGCGCTCAGCCGGTCCTCCTACAACTGGCAAGCCTGGTACACCTTCATGCGCCAGGGCGCCGCCGCGGTGCACGCGGCCAACCCGGCCCCGCTGATCTTCCTCTCCGGCCTGAACTTCGACACCTATCTCACTCCAGTCGTCCAGGGCACCGCGCTGACGCCCGGCACGGGGCGGTTTAGTGTCACGGATTTTGAGGGGTATGCCGACAAGCTGGTGCTGGAGCTGCATAATTATGAGAATGGGATTGGGAGCTGTGACACCCTGAAAGGGAATCTGGACCGGAACGGGTTCCAGGCGCTGCAGCAAGGTTCGAGCGGGGTGGTGAATGTGTTCCCCGTGATGATGACTGAGTTTGGGTTCGCGATGGACAGCAGCACATGGCGCGGGGTGTATGCGAGCTGTCTGGCCGAGTATTTACCGGCGCTCAAGGCAGGGTGGACTATCTGGGTGCTGGCGGGGAGCTACTATGTGCGGTCGGGCATCCAGGACTATGATGAGGATTGGGGGCTGTTGAATCATGACTGGAGCGCGTGGCGGAGTCAGGGGTATGTGGATGGCGCGCTGAGGGGGCTGGTTAGGGAGACGCTGAGTTGAGGATGATATGCTACGGAAAAAGAATACCAGGGAGGACGGTGGGATTGTCAAAAAAGACTAAATGGACTGCAAAAGTTTAACTGTTGTAATGCTTGCCTCAACACGGGATTGAACCGTGGACCTCATCATGTCGCAAATGGGGATACGAGTGATGCGCTCTACCACTGAGCTATTAAGGCTGATGTAATGAGCTGAACCTTTACCGAGTCATGAGCCTGGACGGAGGCCCACAAGGCAGGTCGTTGTCGAAAGAAGATATGGAACTCCCTCTTTCCATTCATTTCTCGCTTACCTTACCGCAACTTCATGGCTAGATAAACCCCTAACATCACCAAGTACTATCCTCACACGCCCCGATATTGCCTTGGGCTTGATAGGTGATACGTGTGAAACAGCTATTCTTCCTCCTCACGAAACGACAATGGCCGTCTGGGGTAGATGGCAGGGCCAGGGTTGGGTGCCGAGTTCAGCTTCGTGCTAGCTAGCAACATGAATGGCCTACGGACTTTTCCGAAGCAAAGACCGGGTTGTGTCCACTTGGCGGTTGCGGTCCTTGCGGCGCAGTCGGCGAGTGAGCGAGTGAGGCGTCAATGATGCCCCCTCCACCCCTGACACTAGCCTCGGGGGAGCCTTGAATGTAACAGTGCTCCTCTCGATGTTCCACCGACGAGCCCCTGGAGGAAATGGCGTCGGGACTTTTGCGCGCGCTTGCCAGGGATGAGGACACCCAAGGACCGGGACAGCTTCGAGACCTCGGACTCGACCCGGACACGACCTTATCAGCGCCAAGTGGGCAGCGCCGCCGTCGCCATGCGTTTCACGTGGCCCCACAAGGATCACCGCCCGAGACTACAGCAAAGGTAAGCGCATCTGCCTCCACCGCGCCGCGCTTGGCCGGTCTGGACTCTGGCGCTTCATGAGGATCTGGATCGGGGCGCGGCGTCAGCCTTCGCTCTGTCCACTGCCGTCCCCGCCGCGGTTGGACTTCCCACGAACAACAAACGTCAGTCCTGTGACCAGAACTGCCGTTCGCTCCTTGCCGCGGCGCGCCTCAACGCCTCGACGGGGGAATTCTCGTGTTTTGATTCTCTCTTGGCCGGCATGGTTCCATGACCCATGGGTGCCACTCCTATGATGTTCAGTCTCCTTTCGTCGTGTCTTCTCTTTCTGTCATGCAGTCTCGCCGAGGCCCTCTCGCCCATATCAGTCAAGGGCACGAAGCTCTACGACAATGACGGGAATCAATTCTTTGTCAAAGGTAGCCTCAGCTCGTATCATCTCATACTGAACCTCACTCACCGCCTCTTCGTCCAGGCGTCTCCTACATCACCCCCCAAGGCGACTCCGACCCCCTCGTGGACGCCAAGCAATGTCAGACCGACGCAGCGTTGATGAAAAAGGCCGGCATCAACACTGTCTACGTTTACACCGTCGACAGCGAGCAGGACCACGACGGGTGCATGAACGCCTTTGCCGACCAGGGCATCTACGTCTGGCTCCAGCTCGGCGACTTTCCCCGTGTCACTGACCCAGTACGTAGAAGCCCCGTACCCCATGATGACTCCCTAATAAACTAACCAGACCAACAGACCCAAGACACCCCCCAATGGACTCTCTCCCTCTTCGCCGCCTGGACCGCCGCCCTCGACGCATTCGCCGGCTACGACAACACCCTCGCCTTCGGCATCGCCCAAGAAATCATCACCGAAAACTGTACTCCCCCCTCCCCTCCCACCCCTGAACCTACCTTACCTGGTACATATAGGCAGGTAACTAACCCCCCACCCCCACCGTAACAGCAACATCCACAAAATCCGCCCCCTCCCTCAAAGCCGCCGCCCGCGACCTGCGCGCCTTCCGCACCGCCCGCGGGTACCGGCCCATCCCGCTCGCCTACTCGGCCGCCGACGTCCCCGCCCTGCGCCTCCTCACCGCCCAGTACCTGACCTGCGGCGACGCCTCCACGGCGGGAATCGACCTGCTCGGCCTCAACATCTTCCACGCCGAATCTTGCTCCACCGCCGCGTGGTCCGCCCTCCGCGAGCAGCTGCGCGACCTGCCGCTGTCGGTGCCCGTTGTCATCTCCGAGGCCGGGTGTGTGCCCGCCTCGTTTGTGGAGGATGGGGTGCGCGATTTCAAGGATGATGCCGCGCGCCTTCTTGGGGAGGGGGCGTACCGGGAGGTGTTCTCGGGCGTGAACGTGTTTGAGTGGGCCGTGAGGGGGGATAGCGGGTTTGGCGTGGTGCAGTACCCGCCGTCGGGGGCGGGCGAGCCGTCTGCGCTGGCGCAATTTGACGCGCTGTCGAGCGTGTTTGTGGCCGCTGCGAGTGTGACGGGGACGCCGAGCGGGGAGTACACGCCTTCGAGTACTGCGATAGTGTGTCCGACGTTGGATGCTGCCAAGGGCTGGCTTGTGGATGGCGCGGTGGCGTTGCCGAGTATTGAGGGGCTGCGGATTGGGACGGTGACGGTTAGGACGACGGTTACGGCTGGGGATGCTGAGGGGGGTCCGACGGGCGAAGGGGGACGGGTTGACGGGGATGGTGATGGTGGAGGAGCGGGTGGGTTGTCGACGGGGGCGATCGCGGGAATGTCTGTCGGGTCTGTGATTGGGGTGTTGGCCTTTGTGACGGGTGTCTTTATGTGTCTTCGGCGACGCAGGAGGGCGGCACCGCACGGAGACGAGAGTTTGGAGGGCGCCGGCTCCATGGAGATCTTGAAGCGATCAAGCTATACGTATCCTGCGGGCAAGGTTCCGCTTGAGCTGCCCGCTCAAAACATGGCGACTGCCGAGATGGACGCGTCGGGGCACTTGGTCTCGACTTCGACGACGGGCTGGAAAACACCAATTCCGGGCAGGGAGGACTCGCCAACCGTGACCGAGCTCCCGGACGGACAGTGGAGGCAAGCGGCGCCCCATGAGCTGGAGGATAATCATACGGATGCAATGGTTGCTGGTACGCAAACTAGGATCTAGCAGACTCACCCCTGAGTTACGAGCAAGTATGCGTAGTAGCTAGGAGTGAGTGGATTCAGGTGTATTGAATGTCAGTCATGGTTACAATCCATAAAACAAACTGCGTATTGGTGTGTAAAGGTAGCTGTCACAGCTAAACAAAACATATTAAAATATTTAGCATCATTACGGTGGACACTTTTGCGGCTAAACAGTTGGACGAGACTTTTATGAATTGCGGAGGGTGCCGAGTGGACAGGGCAGAACGTAACATTCATGAATTACCAGTGAATCTGCCTGTAATCACTGGATTTGCATGAATTGCATCTTCTGGTCTTGGACGGAGTGTTGGACCATACCGCAGTGGTGGAACTGCACGGTTTGGTCGATGGCGTGATCAGCGTGGGAGATGATGTTCATTGTCTTCGACCCGGAACCTTCTCGGCTAGCCAAAGCAACCCCCGGACTGGAGAAGCACTGTGGCTCGCAGAGAAATCCATGAACCGAAGGCTAGGACAACGAGCATCTACGCCATCCCGACCATCGGTATCGATGACATCTCAAAACCTGCGTGGGGGTGAGGATTCAGGGGCTCATGGGACGCTACAGCGACTAGCCGACCATGAAGCCAATGAGTTGGACGCACTTGGATGGCGCAATATGAGCGGCGTTTTGTGACTGAATAGAAGTGGGTTGTTGAGAGGAGCAAAGATGGGTCGATACATGTAGGGGCAAGTGACGGTGGTCGTCCCTCGAATCTGGGCTTTATCTTGGAGCCGTCTGCGACGAGATTGGGAGACCGGGGCATCGTTCATTGGCAAGCTGACACCATGGCTGGCACATCCTTCCTTCGGCGTGTTTCCTTGTACGGCTTTCGAGGGTCACTCTCAAGTCCGAAATCCAACTCTGTCGACAACCAGCCGTCGGAGACACTCCCTGTCACACCAGAGACCCAAACCGTCCTCCTGTTACGTGGGGCGCGTCAGCCCTATGAGTTGACAGAAGACTACCCCGTTCCTGGATTACGGGATGACCGTGAGGTCCTCGTCCGGGCACAGGCCATTGGCCTCAATCCTATTGACTGGAAGGCGCCGTGAGTTGCTTCTGCCATCTCTCTGACCTCTTTTCGGCCACATTCTCCTGACAATACGGAAAGGGACTTCAACTTTGCCATCCCGGAGCTACCATACATCTCTGGGAGGGAATTGGCTGGTGAAATAGTAAAAGTCGGCCAGTCTTCCCGACTCAAGGCCGGAGACAGAGTACATTCCCCCCATGATACTTCCAGTTTTCTCTCGCCCAGAACTAACGAACCTCAAGATCCTCGTCATCTCAACCGACTACCGGGACCTTCGCAAAGCCGCCTACCAACAATACGTCGTAGCCCTCGACTACAACACCGTCCGCCTCCCGCCAACCCTCTCCCCTGAAGAGGGCTCAACGCTGGGCGTCGCCTTTGTCGCCGCCGCTCTCTCCCTGGGCGTGTGCATGGGCCTCGACTTCTCCTCCGTCCTCGACGGACCCAACCTCTACACCCTCCTCCGCCAACTTCCCCCTGACTCCATCGCGACCGACATCCGCGAGGAGTGCCTCGACAACATCCAGGCCGACGAACGCGCCCAGCCAGGCGACTGGCTCGCCATCTGGGGCGGTAAGCCTCCTCCTTTATTACCAAGACCCCTTCCCCACACACATTACTGATACCCCTGCCAGGCTCCTCCACCTCAGCAAACCTCACCCTTCAGCTCGCGCGCCTCGCCGGCCTCCGCACCATCGCCACAGCCGACAAGGCCAAGCACGGCCTGCGGCTGTCCAACCACAAAACCCTCCGCCCGGATCTGCTTGTCGACAGCCACGACCCGGCGCGGGCCGTCGAGATCATCAGGGCAAATGCCAAGGGGCAGTTGCGGTTTGGGATCGACACGCGCGGGAGGGAGTCGGCGGGGTGGTTGATGCAGGCTCTTGGTCCCAGCAACCAAGCTATTACGGAAAGATCGGGATTGACAAGTGGTAACGGGGGGGAAGGGAATGGTAACATCAAGGGAAGGAAGGAGAAAAAAACGGAAACACCCCCCTCGCCCCCCGTGACACCCCACGACTCCGGCTCAGACCATTCAGAGCCCGCTCAACCGGCTGCGCACCTGATCGGGCTAACGGGACTGCCGAAGCAGGTTGCCCCCGAGGGCGTGCAGTATCACACGGTGCCCATTAAGCTGTTTCATG